TTTTTTTCCTCTTTTCTCCCCAAAGCCCCAGTACATAGTTGTATATCATAGTTGTAGATTTGTAGCTCTGTTAAGTGGGACGACGCCTCAGCACAGACCGATGAGCAGTGAGTAGGTCCGTGCCCAGGATCCAAACCGGGGAACGCCGGGCCACCGAAGTGCAACGCGCGAACTTAACTGCTATGCACCACCAGGAGGGCCCCTCTCATAGCCTTTTGAAGTTTGTCTTTCTAGGGCCAGCCCCCTGGCTTAGCGGTTAAGTGCGTGCGCTCCGCTGCTGGCGGCCTGGTCCCGATGCCGGGGCGCGCACCGACGCACCGCTTCTCCGGCCATGCTGAGGCCGCGTCCCACATACATCAACTAGAAGGATGTGCAGCTATGACGTACAACTATCTACTGGGGCTTTGGGGGGGAAAAATAAATAAATAAAAGCTTTAAAAAAAAAGAAGTTTGTCTTTCTACTTATGAAATTTTGAAAAAAGCTCTCATTTTTCCTTTATTTTATTCTATTTACTTAACATTAGAAATGAACTATCTGATTTTTTTTTCAAGTCTATTTCAAAACGTACTGGACTACATTGAACCTCTCCTAGGGTTTTGAGTATCTGGAGATTGTGGTCAGGAAAGAACAGCACAGCCAAATCACAAATCACAGACTTAACTAAAATACCACTTAGCTCCAGGGCTTGTCAATGGTCCCTCCTTGCCTTTTAAATTTTACCTGAAACATGAAATTCATAAAATCTAAGGTAATCCTCATTTAAAATATTATTTTAAAGCACGGGACTTACCATTATATGTTATTCTTGGCTTTGTTAAACACATCACAAGATGCAAATCCATTTCATCTGAGGGTACAAATTTTGAGCATACAGGGCACTTAAATCCTAAAAAGTAAAAGAAACTTATGTTACTTAACTATTCTCCATATCCAACTATGTTTTTTAAAAAAGCATGGAAGACAAAAAGCACTTCAAACTTCAATATTACACTTACAGTAATACACCTTATGTGCAACTTAAGGTGAGAAGACAGTTTGTGACTATAATATCTAACTTAAATCAGTTTATGAAGACCACCCCATTTCAAATAAAACAGTTCAAATGAGGAGAATTTGGTTCACTACAAAACTCCAGTTTCTTTTTCTAAAGTATGAGTCCAATCATTCTTGTTTCTAATTTTTTTTTTACATTAACTTGAACTTACGATTTTGTTATAATAGCTTTGTATTCTGACCGTCCTTGTAGAAATTATCTTTCCCAGTTTGAGTCACAAGGTTTTATAGCTAGATAGTACCTTAGAAACTATTGTACTCCATCGACCTTTTAAAAATTTATCTGATGAAGAAAGTGAAGGCTTTCAGAACAGCAAAAGCAGATCTAGAATCTAAGACTCCTAACTTCTAGTATAGCAGTCTTTCTGCCACACCATGCTACTCAAGTTACAATGCAAATAAAAAATAGCATCAAACAGGGCAGACTTCTCAGTCAATTTTGACACTTACATATTAGCTAGTTTCCTGCAATATTCAACCTGAACTGTTTGCTTACTCTATTAAAAATAAACTGGCATGCTGAAGGAGAGACCACGTTATGTAGTCAGCTCTATCCTGCCCCCTCACTTACCAAGGAGAACAGTCCCATCCATGGTTCCTTGCTGTTTCCCTGCTGCCCCACTACTCCCCCCACCCACCGGACATTCCTAAGTTGCTTGATCCGCACCGAACACCTGATCCAAGACAGCCAATTTATAATTTGGCTAGGAATAACAGAACAGAAGTGGCACAAAAAGATGGTCAGGGCCAATCCATTTTTCCTGGAAATATGACAGAAACAGCAGGAGAGTACACTGGTCAGCTGTGAAGAGCTGAAGCAGAAAGGGCACATGTAGGTAAGAGAGAGACTGGAGTGTCCATCTTGGCTCATGTGTAAGCTGAACTTAGAACAGAAACTATCGGCAGGCACAGAAAAATGGTTCACATGGACATCTTGGAGCAGATGTGCAGAGAGAAGCAGAAGTGCCGTGAGAAACAACAGCTAATAAGAAGGGTGGTGAAAGAAACTAGTCCCTAAAGCTGCCTCAGACTCTGGCAGCTCTCTACTTCCAGTATACATGTGTTCTCACAGGTACTCTCCTCCCTTCGTGGTGACAGGAAACTCACTGCAAACAAATGAGTCAGACCAGAATCACACCTCATGCAGAACTTTATACAAATCAGGAACAGGTTTTGGCATGGGTACTTAATCCAGGTATTCAACTTCCTAAATGAAATATATGGTTTTGAATACTTTTCACACTGTATTAAATGCATTTTAAAAGAAAGGAATAAAGGTATGTTTACTTCCCCGTCTTGAAAAATCACCAAATTAAAAAAGAAGAAAAAGGAAAGGGGATTTAACTAAAACAAAACTACAAAAAAGCTAAAATCTCCAAACAAAGACCATACAATATAGCAAGATTGGATCAAATGGGGAAAAGACAGAGACTCTCAAGTAGCATTCATATTTCAAGGACCAATTAACAATCTTTTCCTTGGAATTGTAAAAATTTCTTCCCTTGAAGTTAAACAGGACTAAAAGAGGGCAAAGGGCAACCAATTTTCTAACCACTGATCAGAATCATCTGAGTACTGGCACATAAACTCTAAATTATCAAACAAAAGTGCAATACTATGAACCATTGAGAGCATTCCAACTGCCCACAAAGTAGAGCCTGAAGAGAGAAAACTATGTACAAAGAACCACCAGGACTTCTAGCCAAATACAATAAACTAATGTGTCTCTTTCTCCTCCTATCTAAACCCCACTAAAATGAGAATAAAATAAAAATAGGATAAAGAAGAAGTTAAAAGGAAACAACAGCAGATGAGAAGAAAACAGATGAAGGAATTAACAGGAAGTGAGAAAAGAGACATCCTAAGTATCTGCAGAAGTAAGCCAATTCTCACTACATAATTCCCAAAGGACTCAGGAATCTATACCTCCAGTGAGACTGAAAGACTGAATAAAAAATTATCCCCAGATCCCCAACCTATGACATATAGCCAAGCAACTACAGTTCTCCAACTAGAGCAGGAAATAAAGGTTTACTATAGAACAAAAGACCGAAAATAGATTGACTTGAGAACGCCAGGCACAGCAATGGGAAGGGAAGAAAACAAGGGAATAAAAACCTACATACTGAAAAGGGCCCCTCCCGCCAATCTCCTTTACTCCATCTCTACCAAGAAATTGGAAGATTCTTCTCTTAAATCAAAAGGTCCCACAGAATGAAACATCAAGCTCCTCGTCTGGTGATAAGCCCTAGTCTTACACATAAAGCTTCCAATCAGCTTTTCAGGGCCTCTCTCATAAACACAATGCAATTAAAAAATTTTTTTTGCAAAGTTAAAACACAGCAGAAGCAAATTCAAAAGAAAATATTTACAACATATATCACAAAGGACAATATTCTTAATGTATAAAGAACTCTTAAAAATTAAGGAAAACCAAATATCTCTTAGAAAAAAGGGCAAAAGTTTTCACCAAAAAGATATGCAAATGACCCTTAAACAAAGGAAAAACTGTACAGTGTCAGAATAAAAAGAAGTGCTTTCCTCTCAAGTTCTTGTTTACTTTTTTATTCTCATTTTAGTAGGTTTTAGGATGGAGGAGAGAGAAACATGTGTTTAACTCACCGTATTTAACTAGAAATCCAGGTGATTCTTTGTACATGCTGTTGTTCTCCTTAGGCTCTAATTTATTCTCTACATTAAGATATCATTACTCAGCCCAGATTGGCAAAAACTCAAAAGCCTGACCACACATTGTTGATAGGCTGTGCAGAAACAGGTACTTGCATACATTGCTACTAAGAATGCAGAACTGTACAACATCTCAGAGGTAATTTGGCAATATCTAACTAGATTACATATGTATTTATCTTCTGATCCAGCAATCCCACTTCTAGGATCTCACCCAGAAGGTATGTCCCCCAAAATACAAAAAAATACATGCACAGAGAGAGGATTTGGGGAAGATGGTGGAACAGGAAACACTGGTTGGATCTGCCTGAGGGAAGAATTTTGGAACTCTGGGGTCTACTGAAGACTTGCAATTTCCAGAGGAAGACTTGGACAGTACATTGTGGTTAATTTCAGCTCCTAGCACAGCAGTAGCTACCCCTCCCCCACCCCCAGACACCTGGCAGGCAGCGGTGCACTTGCTCCTAGAGCAGCTTACACACGGCTTGCAGGAGCCAGGGTGAGCAAATGGCCCCAGTTCTCCAAAAAAGCACTCTGATTCCTGATTGTTGCTTCTGATCCAGGAAGTACAGGCAAAGAGAAGAGCAGTCATTGTTGTTGCAGCTCTCCCCATTGCTACAGGCCCCTCCCACTCTGGCTGAAGAGACTTCAAGGAGATTTAAAGGGCCTGCAACCTTTTTTCCTCCTTCATTTTTCCCTTTTTCCCCTTTTGGGAACCAGACATTAAAGACTAGGACATTCAAAAACCACTGCATATACAGGGAAAATTAGAAAGTGACTGTGCATGCCTAGGGAAAGCTCAGAAAAGACCTGAGAAGATGTTAAGTTTATACCTCAGGCTGATGATCCTCCACATGGAGACAGCCTACAACATCCCAAAAAACAGTAATAAAAAACAGGAGAACCTGGGGAAGGAAGAGAATCTGATTTCCAGAGTTACCACATTATTAGATACAAATGTCCAGTTTTCAACAAAAAAACACAAGGTATACAAAGAACAGGAAAGCATGGCCCATTCAAAGGAAAAAAAAATAAATCAACTGAAACTGTCCCTGAAAAAGACCTGATGGCAGATATACTAGACAGAGACCTTAAAATGGCTGTCTTAAAGATGCCCAAAGAACCAAAGGAAGATGTGGAGAAAGTCAAGAAAATGATGTATGAACAAAATGGAAATATAAATAGACAGAAAATCTAAATAAAAATCAAAAAGAAATTCTGGAGTTGAAAAGTCTAATAACTGAAATGAAAAATTCATTAGAGGGATTCAAAGGCAGATTTGAATAGTCAGAAGGAAGAGTCAGTGAACTTGAAGACAGGACAATGGAAATTATCATGTCTGAGGAACAGAAAGAAAAAAAGATCGAAGAAAAGTGAACAGAACCTAAGGGACCTGTGGGACACCCACAAGCAGACCAATATATGCATTGTGGGAGTCCCAGAAGAGAGAAAGGGGCAGAGAGAATATTTGAAGAAATAACGGCTGAAAATTTCCCAAGTTTGATGAAAGACTTGAAAATATAATCCAAAAAATAATCCAAGAAAATCCAAGAAGCTCAACAAGCTCCATGTTAAGATGAGTTCAAAGAGACCCAACCAGGATACATTATAATTAAACATTCAAAAGACAAAGAGAATCCTGAAAGTAGCAAGAGAGAAGTGAATCATCACATACATGGGATCTCAACAAGATTATAAGCAGATTTCTCATGAGAAACTTGGGAGTCCAGAAGTCAGTGGGCTGATATATTTAAAGTGCTCAAGGGAAAAAAGCAGTCAACTAAGAATCCTGTATCTAGCAAAACTCCTTCAAAAGTGAGGGAGAAATTATGAAATTCCCAGATAAACAAAAGCTGAGAGAGTTCATTACCACTAGACCAGCCCTAGAAGAGATCCTCAATGGAGTTCTACGAGATGAAATGAAAGGACACTAGGTGGTAACTAAAGCTGCATGGAGAAATAAAGACCTCAATAAAGGTCTTCAGGTCAGAGGAACTGTTCTTGAGGAGCTGTAGTGTAGGAATTGCATCTAAGAAGTTTCATCCATATCTGGACCTGACTTAGATAACAAGATCCTGGACTTCAAATTGATGCCTTAATGGGATGAGACTGTGTGGGTCTTGGGAAGAAAGTGAGTACACCGTA